TGAAGGTTGTGGAGAAGAATAGAAACCAGTTTCTCCAGGCAAGCATAAAGAATGTGGTCTGATCCATCTTTATTCTCCATACATTTTACATTTACATTTTACATTTAGTCATTTAGCAGACACTTTTATCCAAAGCGACTTACATCTGAGGTCTAAACCAAACAAGTTATCGTGAGGAGGCAATAACAACACAAGAAGTGCTCAAAATACAAAGTTCAAACATTGCTCAGAGTAGCATAAACTAGGCAAGTGAGGATTTAAAGGATTTTTATTTTATTTTTTTATGTTAAGTGCTTTCGGAAGAGATGAGTTTTCAGTTGTCTTTTGAATGCTGTCAGGGATTCTGCATTCCGGATGAGGGTGGGCAGATCATTCCACCAGCATGGAACTGTGAATGAGAATGTTCTAGAGAGTGATTTGTGGCTCTTTGTGATGGTACCACAAGCCGTCGCTCATTGATCGATCGTAGGCTTCTGGTGGGGGTGTAGACTCGTAGGAGCGAGTGAAAGTAGGAGGGAGCTGAGCCAGTGGTCGATCTGTAAGCAAGTGTCAAGGCCTTGAACTTGATGCGAGCAGAGAGTGGCAGCCAGTGCAGAGAGATGAACAGAGGAGTGACGTGGGCCCTTTTGGGCTCGTTGAAGACAAGACGAGCTGCAGCATTCCAGATCATTTGTAGATGTTTAGTTGCACAAGATGGAAGTACAGCCAGAAGAGCATTGCAGAGAGCATTGACCTCTGAACCTTGAACCCAGTCCATCTCGGTTTGTAATTTAGCAACAGAAGGTGCTAAACACATAAGACCAGCATTTATATATAAAGCTCTGGGCCTCTGCTGTCATGTAGATATGGTCACCAAAGTTTACCCACTGTATAAGCACTGTCAAATATGGAAATAAGCTATCTCACCTATTTAACCATTAATTTTTTGAAATCTGATAACACCAGTGTGTTCCCCATCCCAAAAAAACACAGGGTGTATCCAAAATTTTACACTTTTAACTTCTAATTGTGAGAAATATACCAATATACTTTAAAACTACAACTCCCATAAGAGACGCGCCACACAAAGCGAGTGCTTATGTGTAGTTATTCCGGGGTGGGGGTGGGGGGACATGTTCGTGTAACTATGTAACTATGGCCGTGAATGGGCTTCATTCCATTGCAGATTGCCGCCGGCCGACGAGCACACAATACATGAGACAAATACATTAAACTGTATTTTATTATTATTGTTATCTTTATTGTTTAAATCCTCAAATACAACGTTAGACAAAAACATCAATATTACGAATACTGTGTATTTTTTTATCTTTTTATTCAAGAAATGTTTTACAATAGTGCAAAAACACATTTCTTAGAAATCTAGAACATTTCCAAAAAAGCATATATTAAATAAATTAAGTCAATTTTGCACAAATATATATTTTTATCTTCTTATCCGCCGAGCGGCACATACTACGTCACTTCCGGAGTCTTCGGTCGGTAATCGGTATTACCAAAGTCCTTTCTCTGGTATTGCGGCTGGTACAAAGCTGAGCAACTTGTTGTTGCTGGTGACAACCAATGACAACCGATTCTGTGAATGAACGCCCGCATTGCATTGTGGAGTCTTTGCGTCTAGCTCGGATCATATGTTCTGTATTACAGCATACTGTATTATTTCACCGTAAATAAGACCGAAATATTAAAATAAATAAATACCATAACATCTAAATGAATATTGACAGTTTTAAAAATATAAACAAGAAACCCAGATTGGCCCATATAGACTGAAATAACAAAAGTAAAAAAATATAGTCTTCTGCTTTTACCCATCCGGGGTAGACTTGAACACACACATTTAGTGCATCAAGGTCAATGGAAGGCCACAGTGCAGCAGCCAGGGTTTCATGTGCCTTGCCTTTAGAAAACTTCCTGAATTAGAAAGCATGCTTTCAAATTTTTAGAGGCTTCTGGACCCTCTTGACCTCTGGTCCTGGTAAGCCTGTTCATTTATCCACCCCTGCCTACCTCAGCTACCCTTTCTACAGAAAATGTATGGTTTAGCTGGTGGAATCAACGGTTCCTTAATGATGTCAATTAATATGAATGAAAACATGTCCCACCTTCCTACATACTTTGTGCATCACATTACAATATATCATTTGATGCATTGAAGACTTCAGATGATTGGCTAAACCACAAGGTGAATGGAAAGACAAACAGAAATAAAGGTATACATCGATTTATTTGAACACAGCTTTTAACAAAAATCAATAATTAAAAAATAAATGAAAAAACAGCATGACAGCATGTTAGGGTGGAAACCATTGAAAGTGTGTAACGCGGCTCCTCCTCATCTAAAGTAGTCACATCCGCAAGCAGGATGGCTGGGCCCGTAACGGCAAACTTGACATCTCATAGCAGGTATTTAACTCATTGAATTACAGACCAATGTGTGACATTACACATGGTTGGCACCTGGTGAGAACTGGCAGGCCGGCTCCCATGTCTCCTCCCAGATTTTTCCACTGTAAGTATCAGTAAAAAAATAACATTAGAACCATTTTAACAATAGTTTCACAGCATAAATATTTTCAAAAAATATTGTACGGTCTTGTATTTCATTGTTTTTATAAAACCTATACATATATAGTGCTTGATGAAATGTAACAGATAAACATCAGCCACTCTCATAGATAAAGTCAGAGAAAGTCAATAGCTGACATCAGTCAACAAGGATGAGCTTGGCCGATACTGATGTTCTGCCAATATATTGGTGAAGGTCTACTTCCTACATAGACATTACACCGGGGGAATTATGCATAGTACTGAAAAGAGCAAGTGGCTAAATCCTGTAGACAATATTTGACACTGCATTTATTCCACCCTATACCAATTGGTATATTGGTATATACCCTATGGGTCTACAATTACAATATTGTGCAACATTTGAAGCAATTTGTGTTGATTTAATCTTGATTACAGCTCATGAAAAAAATTTAAAAAATAAAAAAATCAATCAACTCACTACATTATAATAAAGAGGAATACAGAAATGTCGACCTTTCAAAAATAAATGAACAAATCTGACTTATCAAAAATTGTTAATGCATACACTCTATACTTGGTGTGGCTGCTTTTGCACAAATTCCTGCATCGGTGTGGTGTGGTGTGGAGGCCATCAGTGTATGGCATTGCTGAGGTGTTATAAAAGCCCATGTTGCTTTGATAGTGACCTTGAAGTTGTCTCTAATGTTGGGTTTGGTTTCTATCTTTGTCCTCTCTATGGGGTTCAGGTGAGACGAGTTAAGCACAGCAATACCATGCTAAGCAACCCAGTTACTAGCAGTTTTCGCACTGTGGCAGGGGCAGAGTCCTGCTGGAAAAGGATATCAGCATGTGCGTAAAGCTCGTCAGCAGATGGAACCATGCTCTAAAATCTCCAGGTAGAAGGCTGCATTGACGCTGGACCTAAAACCTAGTGGACATGACAATTCTCTCAACGCTGCTTTTTGGTTGCAAAACTTTGAGACCCACCTGTACATTTAAAGTTGTGTGCTACAATATAAATTTCAACCTTTATCCACTACCTATGAGATGGTAAAAAGTGGAAAAAGAGTACATGTATGAAGGCAATATAAACCAATATAAAGCAGTACTTACCATGCAGAGCAAGGTAACCATTTCACCCTTACTTCCTCTTGCCCCTACAGAAAGACAAAAACATATAATCAGGTTTTGAATTTCATAATTTTTGGGGCAAGGCCACTTGGCCTTCAGTTGAACTTAAATGGACTCAAATTACCAATGCTTAAATGGTCAGTATTTTGTGATATGTGAAATGCCAGATGAGCCACAGACAATGGAGAGATGATCAGACAGCCTAATGAAAAATATATTTCTTACCTCATTTATCCTTCGTCCTGTTATGGAGTCATATTTGAAAACTTTTTGCCTACTACATTTCCGGCAACCTTAAAATGACAATAATAATAATAATAATAATATTAATTAACCATAAATGTAAAAAAAACCTGGAAATTAAACTTAAAGTTAAACTTAAAGTTTCATAAAACCTGGGGAACAACTTTAAGCATTGTCCTTGAACTTTGAAAACGTCTGAAGAATACATATATAAAGGGCCATTCACACCAAAAACGATAACTATATAAAAAAATATTGTTCTCGTTAATATGATAAACTATAACGAGATTGAGAACAATATTGTTGGGGATCGCTTTTAAAGCGATTTTGAGAACAATAAAAAGAAGAGCTAACAACCAATAGGAACCCATCACATCTTAGCCATCACATTTATTAACACAAGGTGAGACTTTGCTTATAGCTGGTCAGTCTGTCTGGACGCTTTTATCGTTATAGTTCCTGGAATGAACTGCTCTTTAGCCATTAGATTCAGTGATTTCATAGCCGAAATTTAGCCTAATTATCCTACTGCCTGGCCTAAAGGTTATTGAAGCAGATTGTGAACAGTGATAGGGGGGGATAAGCTACCTGGGCTGCCCACTGATGTGTGCGTGAGTGTGTGTGTATTCATCTCTCCTCAAGTGTGTATTGCTCATTGCTTTACTCCTAGAGTGTGCGTGTTCAGTACTGAAAGGTATGCGTGCGAGGACAAACTCCTTTGTGTATCAGACTGGCCACTGAAAATTACTCACATTAACTACGCTAATTGACTGCACTTAAATTCACCTAAAGATTTCTGTATTTCATGAATAATGATTACAAAAAGGAGAAATTCATACATAGTGTGCTAAGACCACAGTTAACTTACACTTTCTTTTTTGGGGGGGGGGGTTGTTCCTTCACAGGGAGAGAGACAGGGTGTAAATATAAAATATAAAATGTCTCCTTTTCCTGGGCCTGAGGGTGTGGATCGGGCTGGGCCTGAGGGTGTGGATCGGGCTGGGCCTGAGGGTGTGGATCGGGCAGGGCCTGAGGGTGTGGATCGGGCAGGGCCTGAGGGTGTGGATCGGGCAGGGCCTGAGGGTGTGGATCGGCAGGGCCTGAGGGTGTGGATCGGGCAGGGCCTGAGGGTGTGGATCGGGCAATGTCGTCGTGGAGTTCCCTACAATATTGCATGAGTATGTTAATTTTCAATATTTCACCATCATAAAAAAACAGGCATGACTTAAATTACACAAATCCTACCTTCTTTGATCAATACAAAATTGTAGGCCTTTCTCATGGTGGCCACAATTTTTAGGTTGTCCTCAGTGGGTAGCAGATGGGTCACCACATCAGACACCCACTTTCCAGAGGCCTTATCTTTCTTTGCGAAAATAGAATTGGGACATAGCCTAATGCACTTAGTTTTTTCACCTGTAATAAATAAATGCAGACAGCAAACATTAGTTATTCCCACTGCATTACTTTCCACCCAATTGGAAAACAAATTTGCATTAAATACATTAGTGCTACTGTTTCTAATATCGGGCTACACAACTTACATGACCAACCTTAACAGCTTTTCCCCTTAGAAACAACATTACATGATGTTTTATTAACAAAGTTCGGGAGGAGCACGTTCAGATAATTAAACCCAATTAGACACGAGTGGAGCAAACTCTGCTAATCAATCCAATCAACGAGTTAAGAGGTGTATATATAACAACAAGCTTACCTCTGTCCGTTGACAGTTTGACAGCATCCCTCCACCACCCCATCTCCTCACTTCTAGCCCTAAATACTTTTATAACAATGGGGGAAGTACTCTGGGTTCAGGCAAAAATCCTGAGCTCGGAGACCCCCCCGGACCGCACGCCAAATACTCATAATCTTTACTCTGTTAAATTGATGTAAGTGTGAACTCGTGAAATATGTACTCTATACCAGTGGTTCTCAAAGTGGATTTGTTTCGAATGAGAAAGTTGTGCTTAATCGTTAAGAAATGCTTATCAATGACGATGTAATGATCTAGAATCTACATATAAACTCTTGATTATGAATGCACTAATAAATTAAAACATTAACATTGAACTTTTTTGTGATTATGATTAATCAAGTCAATCTGTTGTGAATCACTTCACTCAGGTCATGATGAACCATTCTTCCTGCTGCTTAGCTTGGCTTATTTGCCATTAAGATAGCTGATGAACATGGATAAATGTTTGAGTCAGTCCACATCATTAAGTGATTCAAAATCCAAAGTTGACTAAAGACCAAGTAAGTACACACCAAGAGAATAAAAATGGCATCAAAGTATACAAATGGTAGCAAGCATATGCTTAATTGTTTTAATTATGAGGGGGTCCTTGGAAATTCTTCTCCCACACAAAGGGTCCTTGGCACAAACAGTTTGAGAACCCCTGCTCTATACAACCAATATTCATCTAATGTTGTGCTGGATGCTGGTGGTCAAATAGTTAGCAATCTGGGATTCTAAAGGGAACACAAAAAGTCCTGACACCCTTCAAAAATAATTATATTGATTGGACACACACAAAACAAAATATGATAAAAATACATTTTGACTGGACTAACTCTTTATGGCCACCTATCCACCTGATCCAAACACTCTCCTCCCCCCCTTGGTCGGTCTACCTGTCTCTGCCCACGGCAAATGTAGATTGGGGGACTAACAGAAACACTCATTTGGGAACGCCACCAACGGACATAAAATAGCCAGCTGCACTACAGAACCTGGTCTCGGTCCTACTCCAGTAGGTATAGTCGAATCCTTTCCACTTTTAACCCGACATTAATCTCCCCTGTAGTAATTCAAATACTTTTTTAAGTTGTGTCTTTGAAATAGGACACCTGGAATATGGCCTTGCTTTTAACAACACATATGTTGCACACAGCATGGCTTTCACACATGTCCTGAGTTATTCTGTCACATCATCATGCACTTTCTCTAAAATGAACACAGCGCAAGGCACTATAAGTGTGCGATGCAATATTCACATGCTAGGGGTGGTAGTGCAAGGTAAGAGCATGTTATCTACTTACATAATCATGCAAGACTGTCTTTAATAGTGACTCTGGATCTGAATTCTGTGATCTGCCTTTAGCAGAGACAGAAACTTCAGTAACACGCATACTGAAGTACCTGTGTGGTACTAAAGCAAGGTTATATTTGCAATGTAGCCGGTAGTATATGTAAACAAATGTACATGAGCGCCTGGTCAAAAAGAAAGTCTATTCTATGCATGTCAAGCAAATTACAAATTAATTCAAATAATATGTTACACCAATGACATCTATGACTACCTCAAATTCATTCACTGACAAATTCAACTTATTTTTGTAAAATGAGGCCCTTGCCCTATCACAAAATATTAATGAAAGTGAAACAAATCATATTGCTTAATGAAATATGAGCATTTCTACTTACTGCAATATGGGCAGAGTCCACCACTCTTCCTGCATTTCTGTTTTTTAGGACCCTTTCCCCCCACTTCCTGTCCAGGGTCACTTTTTTGGCCGCTACTTTCTTTTTTTGGGAGATGGCTGCGAAACAAGAGCTGCAGGTTTTGCGGCTCACCTGTGTTAGTAAAAGTATACCAAAGTGAGACATCAGATCCACAGTCACAGAGAAGAAGTAGAATCAATATACAGTTTAATTTGGCTGTATACAGGAAAGAGAGGAACACACAAAGCACAATGCAATTCAGAATATGCATCTCTAGATTGACACAGGATTATTATTATTATTATCATACAGTGAAAGTGGCAGATGTAGGAGACACCCAGGCTAAATCAATGTTGCCTATGGCATTTGGTGCAAAACAAGCAATCAAAATTGATATCAACCAGATGCCTTAAATTATCACTGTTTTGTAACACAGAACACTTATCATACAGGGTCGTTTAGTAGGAGTATACTTTAGTGTCCAATTGACCTAATAATGTGAAATGTATAACATTTAAAACCGCATATTTGAATACTGGACATAATGCTCTATTTGACTTTCCCTCACCTGGTTAGGTGCTTGGCAGGAGGGGCAAGGCCTGAACTTCTTTCGAGAAATCTACACCACACACACACACACACACACACACATTTTCTAGAGTGCACTTAAGACAGTGTAAACAAACACAACATAACTTATTGGCATAATTGCTTTCTACCAAAACAACGAGAACGATTGAGCAGCTAACTTTAAGGTTAACTGTTTAGTGTTTAGTGTCACTGCAACAATAACCATGCACTTATATCAGTCTCTATGCCATGAATTTTCTACAGGATAGTTGAGGGCTATGTAATAAAAATCTGAAAATCTTACATTCCCCTATGATTGTACCTTACATGATAATATGCGACAAAAATGAACTTGAATTCAATTAACTTAGCTAACTTTGCTAGCTTGCACATTTGGTGCAGTTCAAGCTATATTTTTTATAATGTCTTCTATCATTTCTCGTCATAAGAAAGGGCCACCTTACAAATCTAAAGTTTCTAAACACAATTTCTTGTCCTGATCCAACCGTTTTTGATGTGTAAATGTAAGAAGAGGATCCATCTCTATTAATGAACCCTTCTACTTACCCAGTGGAAAATCGCAATGGACCTTGGGATCGCCCATACGGTGACGTCAGCGTTATTAATTTAGAGGATTTAGTAAAAATAATAATTTTTAAAAAATGATTAATTGAACACAATCGTAGCATATTAAAATCAACAAACCTCCGATAGAAATACGTTATCCAGCATGCTCTAGTGTTTTACCTATGATAAGAAAACGCTTTAAAACTGCATACTTGCACGCGCATTGAAGCGTTAAACTCACCTTTTAATTACGTTTTACCTGCAGTTGTGCGTTGCTTTGGTCAAACTCACTCTGAATGCCGTTTTACCTGCAGTTGAGTGTTGTTAAACTCACCGCTGAATGTGGTTGCACACCATGTGCGTTGTTAAACTCACCGCTGATGAACGCGCTTAACTTTTGAGGGCCCTTTGATATCAGATTGCGAGGGTTTTTAAACATCAAACACCAGTTGGAGGGCATTTGAATCGCCCTGGTATAGATAATTTTTGGTAGCGTATTCCTTTTTATTTTTATTTATTGTTGTCTCGACCCACAAGGCAGACAACGGGTTGCGGTGTGGTGATCGACCCAAGACGTCAAATTTCAACGCTGTTGATATATATATATATATATATGAGAGAGAGAGAGAGATGCAACTTTGATACATTTGATAGATACATATCAGCACATGTATAACCAGGGCTGGAAATTAACACCACCAAGCGCCAAATGCAGTTTGTTTGTTTTTTGTTTGGCGGCTAAATGTTGGAAGGCTACCTGCCACATTGGCGGGTAAACGTATCTCCATATAATATATGTTTGACGGTAGCTAAGAGCGGATCAGCGTTGTTTTTTGATGTATGTCGCACTTAAATTGGTCCCCGCTGTACACGGGGGTCTAAAATCGTGTAACACGCTGATTAGGGGCGTTCATTGTTTATGTTCATTCAGGTGTCTTGGCTTTGATTGGTGTAGATATGGAAGGGGTTGGGCGTTAGGGGAGTGGAGTCGGGAGCAGTCAAGTCGTGCTTGGAGTACCTGGAGTGGTTTTGGCATAGGTTGTGATTTTTTTGTTAGTACTTAGCATTAATAAATTAGAGACCAATGTAGAGGGTTTTTCTTGCACAAAGATTTAATAACTGAAAACAACCTACAATTAATATTAAGCGGGGCAACGAGGGGTGTCTTGGACACATTGGTGTCTCACAGTGGACTTGAACCCGGGTCTCTCACAGCAAAGTATGCGTCTCATCCACTGCTCCATCACCACCCCAAGCTCAATCTCAATTATCTCAATTAAAAGTACTGAAACAAATGTTTATGTGACATAAAAAGGAAAGTTATTATCTTGGCCGGTGGATTTTTTCATCTAGCAGTCCCATTGGCCGGTGAGCCAAAGTTTCCAGCCCTGTGTATAACTAATGATTTGAAGGAAAACAAGCTAGGCCTGCTGTCTGTGTCCTGATGGCCGCAAATGAATTATGTTCATGGAAAGTCCCAAAACGTTCTTCAACTATAGTCAGTCCAGGGTGAGAGAGAAAAAAAGGGAGGCGTTGTTTTTGCTGGTATTGAAGAAGTGTATAAACGAACTGACTTTTCTGCACATAACTGTAACAGCAGTCTTTCTGCAGAAAGTCTCAGCTGACTTGGTGGTGCAATAAAGAGATCTTTAAGCTTCATCTGTCTTATTGTGAAAGCTCAGGTGCAAGTTCTCAACAGCAGGTCACTGTATCATAGATGGTGGTTGAAAAATTGTTTCTAGTAGCTTTAGATAGAGGGTAGAGGGATAAACCACTACATTAAAAGTAGCCATTACGGCAGGTTAAGTGTAAAGTAAAATACACATGCTTATCCTGCATTACTGATGGCTGAAGAAGATGCATGTTCTAGCAAATAGTTATTGATGTGAAATTGTTTGCATTTTAAATTGAGACCATAATCTGAGGCTTTTTTTAAAAAACATAATCCATTCAGGAGAAGGTATTATAGCCCACACACAAGAACAGCTTACAGTATCAGCCTGTTCTAAGTGTAGTTTATACAGGAAAGGGGTCTACTATCAAGATCATTTAAAAAATCTAAATATCAGCATAAAAATTGGCATCGGCCCCCAAAAACCCATGTTGGTTGGGCTTTATTCAATTGCTATACTCTAACTTATTACCTAAGATCTCTTTGCAGCCACAGCAGTAAGTTGTCGGTAGTCAGACGGTGCAAGAAAAGAAATCCTGTATAGAAAAAAAGATGCATAAAGATGCCTCGATAATTGTGGCCTCCCGAACTGTAATTAAATCGTGAGGTGCTTATAGATTCCCACCTCTACTGGTTTCACATCATAAGCACACAAGGAAAAAGAGCACACACCTTTTCACTCTGCTCTTTAAGTAAGAAGAAAGTTAGCATACACTCACTGGCCACTTTATTAGGTACACCTTGCTAGTACCGGGTTGGACCCCCTTTGCCTTCAGAACTGCCTTAGTCCTTTGCGGTGTTGGAAACCTTCCTCAGAGACTTTGGTCCATACTGACATGATAGCATCACTCAGTTGCTGCAGATTTGTCGGCTGCACAGCCATGATGAGAATCTCCCGTTCCACCACATCCCTAAGGTGCTCTGTTGGACCGTGAGCTGGTGACTGTGGAGGCCACTGGAGTTCAGTGAACTCAATGTAATGTTCAAGAAACCAGTTTGAGATGATTTGAGCTATGTGACGTGGTGCATTATCCTGCTGGAAGACAACACCATGTTGAAAGTATTCCACAAAGAATTAAGGCAGTTCTGAAGGCAAAAGGGGGTCCAACCTTGTACTAGCAAGGTGTACCTAATAAAGTGGCCAGTGAGTGTAATTGTTACTGCAAATAATATTAAATGACTAATTTTATGCAATTCTTGACGGTGTTCCCCTGTGAATGCCTGAATGTTTGAATAATTGTTTAAAACCAATGCAAATAATTAAATAATATCATGTAAGAAAGCTAATACAACAGGGCAGCTGAGGCTTGCACTAACCGCTCTCACAAATGACACATGTGGTCCCTTGATATAGAAGTCTGCAGCCTGCAGGAAATGTTGATACTTCTTACAGCCAATCTCCATCTTTTTCACCTCCGCCTGGGCATGCTCCAACATCATTTGTGGCCTGGATAGCCAGAAGGTAAAAGACAAGATTAACTCTAGAAATCTATGACAAGTCCATTACAAGACTATTATAATGACAGAAATTACATCTGTTAAAAGAGAAACCCTTGTACTCATCAACTTGCACCCCAATACCGGACCATTGAGTGTGAGCTCTTCAGCTCTTTGGAAGCCACAAAATGGGCTGGAACGTAATCCTTGGTGGAATGTGCGTCCATTAAAAGTATTTTGTTTTGCCAATGACGATGAAAGTAAACACAGGAACCATCTGCAGACACTGTAACAACTCTACTTGAACTACAGAGGTTCTTCAGTGGGCAAAAAGGTGATGTTCCTCACCTTGGACTTCACTTCGCTGTCTGCACCTCAGTGTACAATCAGTTAGTGTACATTTGGAAATGCAAACAATTGATTCACCTCAAAGTAATCACTCTGTTATCATGGAAACAAGACAGAACACCTGCAGTGATGAAAGGGACAGAGCTGTAATATATGATGCTGAAGTCGTTCATGCAACATTTAATAAAATGTGTATTTATGTCGAGCTTCCACCAGTAAATGTGTGTCTTGATTAATAACACACTTAATGTGCACCACCTTCTCTGCAACAGAGACTTTGTCAAACCTATCCTGATGTCCAACATGTCCAACTGTTAGAAAAATGTACTATGCTTCAGTATATTAAACTTTTGCAAGCCTGTCTATAAATATAAAGAAGAAGCGTTTAACACTCTCAGTGAACTTATAAAACAGGAACTGGTGCATAGAGATGGACAGGAAACGCCTACAGGTGAAAGCTAGATAACAGTTCCTGTCTGTATTTGAGTGGCATGTTAATAATATTACTTGTCCCAGTAACTAAGTAGTGTAACTAATTACTTTTCTAAAACAGTAAAATTATTACAGTTACTAATCCAAGTAACGCTGTTACTGAACGCACCATCCTTGACTTGAATCCACGACTGTGCTGCAGCTCAGCGGGACCGGACTTTGTTGTTCATGTCGCTGAAGGAAGAAAGGAGAATGAGGGAGAGAGGCGTTCTTTCCACAGCTGTAAGTAGCTGCTGCCATTATTGTGTCACAGTCTAAGATGCAAAGAACATTGTGGTCTAGTGTAAACTCTGTGCGACCAGCAAAAAGCTTTCTACAGCGAACATTTCTACATCTGATCTATTGAAGCGTCTGCTGAAGCAGCACAGCGACGTGAAACTTACAGAAAAAACACACTCCTTGCTGCTGTTGAATATGATATTAGTTAAAAAGTCGGCAGAGACGCTTTGTTTGGGGGTGAAGGGGGGGTGGTAGTGAAAGCTGTGTTTCCCATAATTAGCCTATAATTTGGATAATTATCAACACAGACCGCCACATATTGATTTTATAATATTTTTTTATTAGGTGTATTTAAAATCATTTTTGATTGAGGAGCATATATTCGTGCAGCACCTCCAGGCTCGCTCGCTCTTTCTCTCTCTCTCATGAACACCGCTTCTCAAACCTGTTGGAATATAACCCCACCCTGTCATTCTGTGGGAAACACTGGAAAGTATATAGAAACGTAACTAGTTACTTTTATCACCCAGTAATAAGTAAAGTAATCATATTTTTTAAGGAGTAATAAGTAACTAGTGATATATTACAATTTCTGAGTAAGTTGCCCAACACTGCATGTGACCTAGATAAAGATTCATCTTCCTTGTAGGAAGCCGTCATTGAACAGAGGAGGGGGTCTACGCCACCACTTATCCCCCACTTACAATGCTGTCCTTTCATCACTTCCCAGGAAACTCAACAAACGTAACCTATTGGCCTCAGGTGAAGATACCAACGATGGTCGTTCAGTCTCGGCCACAGGTAGTCTTAACGACTGTAACGACTGTCGTCACAGCAACAAGGAACACTAACGAACCAGCGGTATCGATGACCCGGGCCAACGACCCCACTGAGGTTAAATAGCTGAGTTTCCCTGCCAGTCAGTCAGAACTGAAGAAGTCCTTTGGATGAGGGACGAAACGTCTTCCAGTATCTTCAACCAAGTCCAGTTGCCCTTGATTTTAACCTTCGTTGGATAACTATGACCTGGATGACTGAGAATCTTCATAGACATTGCTTTATGAAGTTA